CAGCAGATAAGTGGCATAAACTAGTAAAGGCAGAGGGAGGCCACTAAGACTCTTGGAGTTATAGTTAATTCATCTGAAGAACAAACATGACTGCTTTGATAGCCAGATGGGGAGATTGTAATAGTCAGTATTTTCCGTACAAGAACTGTGAAGTTTATGCTCTTGATTGTGGCAAATATACTGCAAAACTCATTTAAAATTTATTCTCCTCAGTCTTCGTTTCTACTTCTCATAGATATCTTACTGAAAACAGTAGAAGCTAGGCCCCTGTAATCTGTTTCCTAAGCAGTCTAAAAGGATTGCTGAGGTAATGATAAAAACATAGAGGCTGATGAGAGTACCTGTAGCATCCCAAGCTGTTATCATGACCTGTACCTTGCCAAGTGCAGGAAAACATAAACAATACAATCTCTACTAAATATTGTTGGGATTTGCACTCCTATACAAAAACAGAGCATAATCTGTGTGGCTTCTACACAACTGGTGCTTCCATTATTGCATGTTGTCCCATAGAAATAGAGATATGCCTCTTTAAAGAAAAGAGATTATTTGAATTGTCTTTCTTACTATTTCACTCTTTTTAAAATTCATGTTTCTCTTTCTATATCATGCACATGAGAATCCAGAAAATATATGTGTGGAGGATAGTTGCTTGAATTCCAATAACTGTTACATGAGGAATTTTTCTAACAGTCATATTTTATCCCATTAAGAGATCAGTCATTACCTACTATATTATCTGATATTTAAGAAATATTTTTATAAATATTTCTTAGCAACAAAATATCTTAACCATGTCCCTGTTATATACAAGGTGTCTATTTAACAATATCTAAAACAACAAATATGTGAGAAATTATAAAATCAGAAAAAAGATAAGTAAAGACAATGTGGAGATAAGTTATAAAGGAATCAGCCTGAGATATATTACATAATTTCACATTGTTCCACCTCCGATGCCACTTAAAAATTATATTCATCACTGATCTTGCTAGTTCCATAGTGATAAAATACTTTATTTTAAAAACCCTTTTATTGATTTGCATATGTTGAACCAACCCTGAATCCCTAGGATGAATCTCATTTGGTCAGGGTGCATGATTTTCTTGATGACCTAGAATCGGCAGTCCCATTTGACCCAGCTATTCCCCTACAGGGTATCTTCCCCCCAAATTTAAAAGAATCATACCACATATGTGCACCATGTTCATAGCAGCACAATTTGTAATAACTAAAATTTGGAAGCAGCCCAATTGCCCATCAACTGGAGACTGTATAAATAAAACAAAAAAATTAGTAATATGGAGTACTACTCACCCATAAAAATGAGAAATTAGAGACACTCATAGCTAAATGGATGGATATTGTGGTGATACTCTTAAGTGAATTAAATAGGACATGCATGTTTAAATACTGAATAGTTTCTCTAGTGTGAGAAACAAAGTGTAAATAAAGACTAAAAGGTACAATAGATAATATAAAATAGGAAGAAAAGGGGCAAAGGAGAAAGGGAAATTGGAGGAGTAGGGGAAAATAAAGAAGGGAATGGAATTATATGAGGAAATGAAAAAATGGAAACAAAATCTTTGTAGATGGAGAGGGGTGGAGGAGTTGAAAGGAGGGTAAGGGAATGGGGAAACATAAGAATCAAGATGGATCATGTAAAGGTGCAAATTTCCAATGATGAATTTTATTATATTGTATGCCTCAAATGTACCAAAAATAATTTAGAAAGGAAAAAATCATGTAATGACTAAATATTTAATTTTAAGTCTTTACTTGAAAGCACACATGTGGGTGTTTCTCTCTCTGTTTCCACCATGGAACATGAACCCATCAAAATGGGAATATTGACATTCATAGTGAGTAGAGAGCAGCTTCAAGATGGGATACTGAAGATTTCATTCTAAGGCTCCCATCTCATGTCACTATCTTCTCTATGGGGGCCAGATGGAAATACTATTCCATACATAAATTGGAATTTCATGATCAGCAATCAGGTGAGAATTGTTATTACACATACCTTGCAGATATTTTCAGTGCATTTGTGGAGTATACTTAATATTGTACTACAGGACTTAGGGGTTTTTGTTTGTTTGTGTTTTTGTGGTTTTTTTTCTTTTTTTTTTTTTGAGACTGAGTCTCACTATGTAGTTGAATTGAGATTGAACTGGAACTCACTATGTGGCCCAGGCTGGTCTTGAACTCATGGCAATCCTTCTTCCTCAGCCTCCCAAGTGCTAGGATTACAGGCATGCACCACCATGCCTGGCTCCAGGACTTAGTTTTTTAAATGGGAAAATGTGATTAATGTAAAATTGCTTATGCATGTATCAATTTTTAGAATTCAAACAATTATTTTCCATCTATATTTTTGAAATTATCACTTACACAATACAAAGGAGGGCATAATAATTTGGGAGAAAGGGGCTAAAGGTGTAGAGAAATGGGAAGGATAGGGGAAAGGAAATAAGGGCAAAGAAAAAAATATGAGAAAAAAAATGGAAACAAAGTTTCAGTAAATAGGGAAGGATGGAGGAGGTGAAGGGAGGGCAGGGAATTGGGAAAAAATGAGAACAAATACCTGTCATGTAAGGTACAAGATCCCAATGATGAAAATAACTATACTGTATACTTAAAAAGTACCAATAAACTCAATGAGGAAAAAAATACAGAGGAGAGCATAATAATTTGGAAAAGATTATAATAACATAAAATAATATTTTGATCATGTCCTCTTTTCTGTTAATACAGTGTATCACTTAAAAATTTTCAAGTAGCTGCATGTATTTCAGAGAAACAAATGCATATGTCATTGTAAAATAGTATATTTCGGGGACAGTAGATGTCATGCTGTAGTCTACTTAGATGAGCTTTAGTCACATTTTAATAAGTTTTTCAGATACATGTTTTTCAGATACAGTTTTTCATGGATACATAAGTCAACACTGACATAGAAACTTTGAGAAAAATCTACTCACCAAATTACTTGCAGTAGTGGCCTTTGGAGGACAAGAATACAGGAAAATGGAATCATAAAGAGATACTCAGACCTCAAATTTAATGGGTTTGTGACAACTGAGAAATATTTTTGAAGGTTCATTGGCCTGAAGTGTGAATAGACCCCTTCTGACAGCTTGAATTCAAAATACACTGAGAATCCTGAGTGTCAATCATTTGCTGCCTTCTCCCCACCCACCTTTCTATTTCATAAAGTGTCAAAGCAATGTAGAACTTCACAGTGTAAAATGTGTCTCTGAATCCCAACACAGAAACCGCACAGATAATCCAGACCTATATCTAACCTATTATCATCATTCTGGCTGTCAGCTCCAACTCCCACCTCCACAATCCCATGTACTTCTTCCTTTCCAATCCTTCCTGGGATGACACCTCTTTCAAACCCACTGTGTTCCCAAATATGACTGTAGATTATTCTCATGACAGTAAGATAGTCCTTTATGTGGGTCAAATGATCCAGATTCCTATCTACAATCTTTCTGGAAGTATGGATTGCATGGTTCTGACTGTAAACTCCTTATGACAGGCTCATGGTCATCTGTCACCTCCTAAATTACACAGCTATGAATCTTCACCTCTTTGGCTTTTTTTTAGTCTTTTGGACTCTTTGTTGTGCTATTTTTTGCTATGTGATTTACCTACTTCAAGGATGTGGAATTATCCAATTTCTTCTGTGATCCTATACAAGTTTTATTTCTTACTCTTTTGACAAACTCCCAATAATGTGGTCATGAATTTTACTGGTCATGTATGTTTTTGGTTTATTTTGTTTCCTTCTCAGGGGTAGTTTTATCTTATTATTTCTGCATTGTGAGAATTAAAAGTATAAATCTTCTCTACCTATGGGTATCACCTGTCAGTAGTTTGCTCATTGTGTGGAACAAGCATTGCTGTGTAGCTTGACTTAGATCTGTCACTATATCCAACAAAGTGTTTGGTGGCCTCAGTCATTACAAGATGATCACTCTTAGGCTGAATCCTTCATCTACAGACTGATAAACAATAATGTTAAATATTCCCCCATGAAGACTTACAACAGAACACTCTAATTTCTGGCCTGAGACAAGGAGTTTAATGTAGGGTTATATGATAAATGCAAAATATCAATGACTCAAAGAGCAAAATAAAAGAGAGGATAGAAAAAAGGGAAGTGGACTGTGTAGATGTGGGAAGGAGACCTGCAAATGGCAGCAGAAGGAATGGTTAGGAGGGGAAGAGGAATTAAAATCAACTAAAATGCACCGTGTATATATGTACCAATTCCCAAAAATGAAAATAATATTTACATATTGGAAACATATGTGAAAAAAGCTAAACAAACAGAGCTCTAAATCCTACATCCTCAGTCACTTTATTTTGAAGATTACATTTATAGGTTTTAAATTCTCATCGTATTTGGTAGAATTGTGGCAGCCACTGGTGAGGGTGAGAAGAATAATGGGAGGGATTTTAATAATGGGTTGGCAGTGTTAGTTGTGAAGATGAAAAATTTCTGGATATGGATATTGGTGATGGATCTACTACAATATGAATATAAATAAGGCACAGAATTTTAAACTCTCCTTTGAAATTTAAATATGGCATAATAAAAATTTAAATAAAACTCAAATGAATTATTAAGAATAATAAATGTAAGAAATATATAGTAGTTGTAAGTTTTCTCCTGCATAAAGCCCCTAAACATTTGTGGATATGGATTTTTCTCTTCTTTTTCTTTCCTAATTAATATTAGATTGGCCTTAAAATTTGTAACAAAGTGGACCAATTTGGCTAATTATGGCCTCTGTGCATTGAGCCTCCAAGGTCATGTAATACTCAGTAAGGAGCCCAGGCCTGCAGACCTTCAGTTCAATATCTCCGCTAAAGTTCAATTCACCAGAATGTATCCTCTTTCTTTTTTTACAACAACAAGCTCTTGTCTAGGATGCATGAATATGAGTCCTGAGGACAGACCCTGCCTACATGATCATGACCGAAACTGCCCGCAGTGCAGATCAGTAAGTGCTGATGGAAATTGAAGGGTGGAGGAAGGACTAACTGGAAATTTCTTTCCTCCTTGTGAGGGAGAACATGTGATTTGGCTAGGATGATGGGAGGGCAAAAAGTGAAAATTTAAGAAGTGAAGTTAACGATCTTTGATGTGGTGAGGTTTGCTTTTTAATCTTATTTAATTATGAACTTTTGCTTTCTTCTCAGAGTAGTTCTGCCTCCTCCGAATATCTCACCAGATGTTATCCAAAATATCTCACATGTAACTATTTCATAGATGCTCATGAACTTGATGACGCAGATGACAATTAAAATGAGGAAACTCTCCATAATGTGTAATCCATTACTTAGATAATCCTGAGGGCGTGGGGCTGAGACCAGTGTTCTTTGTAGACAGGATAAATTTAGCTTCCAGTTTAAAAAGTGCTTCATTATGAGTTTTTACAGAAAAATCAAAGGTACCATTTTTATTTAATGTGTGCTATCTGATTAGAAACATATGGCACCTGGCTATTGTCTTAAAATTTCAGCTAGGCATTTCTCATCCCAGTCACCCCAGAATGAGATTCCTTGCTCCATGAGCTCTATTTCTTGTAAATGACAGGGCAAACCAGTTGGTGACATCTGCTGCAAAAATGATAGAAGAAAGAATGTGATCATAGAAAAAGATCACAGACAGAAAACACATATTCACTCTGCACCTCTTTCTTTTTTCTAGTGTGTCCCTGAAACTACCTATATCCTCATACATTCATGTAACTATCCCATTCAACTGAGAATTATACTTAAGATAAGGTCTTGATCTTGTTCAGAAAATAAGAACAAGATAAAAGAATGCATACCTGAAATGGATCTGTCCACACCTCTCCTTAAACTTGTTGATGCATGGTAAACAATGACAACAAATTAATATATGATACCCAATGACTGAAAATATAATTTTAATTCTGGTTTGCTGAAGTAGACATGTCATTTCTGTAAAAGGCAGAAGATTGTTGGTATCTTTGAGACTTAGCATTGATATCTGAGGTGATTATTAGTTGACAGAAATACATTGAGGAGATATTAGATAACTTGTGCTCTTTTCTGTTAATATGTGCTAAAATTATACAATCAGAACAAAAATTTTTGATATTGTTATTTATAGTAATAAAATAATCACTGATTCACAATATATTTTCATAGTCATTGTGGTGGTATCAACATATTTAATGCTTTCCTGTTTGCAGCTTTGTCTCTTTCATTAATGTACTGAGCTAGAGATAAGGTAAAGTAGCTTGTTGGGTCTCTGTCATGGGCATGAGATGCGTAAATCTGTTAAATTGTGCTTAGCATATAAAATTATTTGGAGATCATGGCTGAACATTTCATGGGTATCAAAAAAGAAAGTATACATGAAGTGACTTGAGTCAAGACCCATTAATACTTTCACATTATTCCATAACTCCAATGCTCTTTAACAGTGGCATTCACCATAAAACTCATAATATTTTTTGAGACAGGATCTCCCTTGGCTGGCCTGGAACTCACTATATACCCAGGAGGATCATGGTGGATTCTCCTGCCTCAGCCTCCGAAGTTCTGGGATTATAGGGGTATACTACAAACCTGGAAAAACTCATTATATTATTAATGTAGGAACCTTCTATTGGAAAATCGTCCACAATTAACAAATATTTATTAGCTTCCAAATTCAGCTCATACAAAATAACTGTGTCAATAGAACTCATTGTATTTTCATTATATTCAGGACAAAAAATATTTATTTCATGACTCCCAGGCACTATCTCTTTTATTGGAGTTAAATGAAAACAATATTCTTAATGCTAAATGAATAATTATATGTAAAAATAGGTTACAGTTCATAATGACTGATTTTAAATGAGATAGGAAATCAAAGGTAAAATTGAGTATATATCAACTGCAAAAAGTCAAAGAACTATATTCTCATATTTGCATTTAAATATTCACTCATGTGTGTTATGGAGAGGAACAGAAAAAAACTGAAATGCTTGTCCTCATAAGAAACTTACAGATTATATTACAGCTCTCTCTGGGTAATGCAATTTATCACCTAAGTCATTGAAGGTAGTTGTATTTACTTCACAAAGAAAAAAGTAAATGTACTTGTGTTCATAAGGACATTTCAGGGACATTAAATGCTATGCACTATTAGATGCACTTTATGTGCTTTTCAGGTAAGTCTTTAGAAAAGGCTTTATGAATAATACAGTAATCAACAGAGATTTTGAAACACTGATAGCAATATCTACCCCCAAGTAACTAACAATACTTGCATGTGGGATCAAAGTATATGGAAGGATAGAATCATGCTGAGATATCAAGAAACAAAGACTCATAGATTATAATTCAAATCAATGTCAAATATTTAATCTGAATTAAATATCACACATTTTACATTATAATATAGTATGCATTGATATAAAAACACTTGATATGAAAATGTTAAAGAACCATACTCTAAATGCAGGAAATTTATGACTGCATTTGTTTCAACTCTATTTTAAAAAAGAACCACAAAAATCTTCACATACAAATATTCTAATTAAACTGGTTTTGCTTTTAGAATAGTGTATCTGCACACTTTTTCACCCAGTACATATTGATAAATGGGACTGAAAACTTCTATTTTATGCAATAAAATGATTTTTGAAAGGTTTCATAAATTAATTGTCTAAACTAGGTAATTATTGCCACCATATGACAGGTGACAAAACTACTATATATATTTATAAAACTTTATTTTCTGAACTTTCCTGGTTTGCATCCTTTCCACTTGTTTTTGATCAATGTTTTGATTGTTCAATATTTTATAAATACGAACTGTCAACATTTAGTGATCAAATAATAGAGTCCAAGCTCTTTCTGAGATCTTATTAAAATTCTGAATCTCAGAATATTGGGCCCTGGTTTTGATAAAAATAATGTAAATTAGGTTACTTCTTAATTTCCTTCAGAAGGATTTTTCCAAAAGAAGGAAAAATGCTACATCTTCCCAATTTTTATTAAAAGAATAGGCTCTATTTTATTGTGATCATAAATTTCTTTTCTCCAATATTCTTGGTCTTATAATATTGCTCAGTTGACTGTTAAAAAAACAACAAATAACAAAAAGCACGAGTAATGGGAGATTTATTTTAAAAAGTTGTTCAGTAGAACTCAGACATATTAACACAGTTGTATGGAATTACAAGAGTAAATTGTTGTAATTATCTTAGTACAAAGTATATACAGAGCTCTAAGTACATATTTATTTGTGTATTTGTCTGTGTTTTTCTCTTTCACAAGGTGTCCAGACAATATAGATGCTAAGAATCTAACAACTGTATTAGAATTCCATCTCATGAAACTCTCAGAGGATCCAGACTTGCACCCCATCCTCTTTGGACTGTTCCTGTCCATGTACCTGGTCACAGTTCTTGGGAACCTGCTCATCATCCTGGCAGTCAGCTCTGACTCCCACCTCCACACCCCCATGTACTTTGGAACCTGCTCATCATCCTGGCAGTCAGCTCTGACTCCCACCTCCACACCCCCATGTACTTCTTCCTTTCCAATCTGTCATTTGTGGACATCTGTTTCACCTCCACCACAGTCCCAAAGATGATTGTGGACATCCTAACTCAGTGCAATGTCATCTCTTATGTGGGCTGTTTAACACAGATGTCTCTGCTTATTGTTTTTGGATGTATGGATGACTTGCTTCTGACTGTGATGGCTTATGATAGGTTTGTGGCCATCTGTCACCCCTTGCATTACCCAGTCATTATGAGTCCTCAACTCTGTATCTTCCTAGTTTTTGCATGTGTTTTGCTAAGCCTTTTGGACTTACAGTTGCACACTTTGATTGTCTTAAAGTTCACTTACTTCAAGGATGTTTCAGTTTCCAACTTCTGCTGTGAGCCTGCGCAAATCCTTAATTTAGACTGTACTGAAAACTTAAACAAAAACATAATTATATATGTTGTTGGCACCATGTTTGGATTTTTTCCCATCTTGGTAATACTACTCTCTTATTATAAAATCATTTCCACCATTCTGAGAGTTCCATCATCAGGAGGGAAGTATAAAGCCTTCTCCACCTGTGGATCTCACCTATCAGTTGTTTGCTTATTTTATGGCACAAGCGTTGGGATGTACCTTGGATCAGCCATAGTGCATTCTCCTCAAAAGATTTTGGCTTCCTCAGTGATGTACACAGTTGTGACGCCTACGCTGAATCCTTTTATCTACAGCCTGAGGAACAGGGATATTAAAGACGCCCTGAGGAAGCTTCATAGAAGGAAAGTCTAATATGAGGAAGTGATGCCTCCCATACAATATAGGTTGAAAAAGCATCAGTCTTAATTATATAGTCTTTTAAATTCTGCCTCATAGTTATCATATTTATAATTTAGTTATTTTAGTTACTCATTATAGTAAATACCAGAATGGCATTCTAAAGTGGTGTGAAGTAGGAAGAACATAGACTCTTAAATGAGCACTGGGGACTTGGGACTGAGGATGTCACTCAGCAGTACTGAGCCTGTCTGGCAAGTGCAAGATCCTGAGTTTGATCCCTGGTATGAAAAAAAAAAAAAAGTACTAAGTTTCAGCTGGGGACTTGAAAATGTTTAGATATGGGTATGAATATCATTAAAATTATTTATATTATGTTAACTTTTTAATTTATACTTTCCATAATAAATAATGAAGGCAATAGCTAGATTTGTCTTCTTTGTTTTAGATGGACACAAAAAATTAAGTGAATGCTAAACAGGATATTCCTTCTGAATAGACAAGAGATGAAAACCAGAGATGACATCCACTCTGTCTTCATCCTATTTTTTCTCCATTAATTTTAAGAAGTTCTTAATAATTGGGATAACATGAAATGCTTTGGCTAACTATGAGCTCTGTGCATTGATCCTTCAAATCAATATAAAATAATCAGCCTATATCCAGTCCTTTTTCATTTCTTACCATCACCCTACTGATATCTATAGCCATTTCTCCCCCTCTTAGAGTTGTGCACTTAGGAAGACATCTACCTAATATCATATTGATAAAGAGCATAGGATCTATGGATGACATAGAAGCTCCAAATAATTGAAATATCATAAATTCTGAGTGTGTTCTCTAAAATCAAAGAATGAATTCAGGAATAATGGAGCTTATGAGTGGGAATAATTTATTGCAGGAAAGATAGCTTCTGTCTAAGAGAAACAGAAGGAAACCTAAAAGTGGGTTTTCCTCCCACCATGTTTCTCTGAAGTGTTTTATTTAGCAAAGTCATGAGGTGAGACAAGTTCAAGGTGGAAAAAAAAAACTCTAGTCAATTAACCAGATCCAATTGATAAATCTCAAGGTGGGTATGAGGTGAAGAAAATCTATCATCAACCAATAAAATTATAAGTATGGTTGCTTAAGTAATAATGATTAAATTTGGATCAAATGGAGAAGCAAGTCATGTAACAAACATGTATTAAATGAATAAGTATTTTATAAAAAGGAAATAGGCTGGGTGGGCTTGGTCCCCAGTTGAGGTGATTGATAACTATTTAGAATCTCACTCACTGCTCTTCATTCCTAGGAGAAGTATGTGGGTGTAGTAGTTCTTCCTTTTTGAATCCGGATCTTTTAGCAAATGTGTCTTAATCATCTTCTGTGCTTAGGGCCTAACCTTGCCTAACTGTCTTATAATATTTTCAAACTAGTTTAGTTGTCAACAATAATAATTGTATTAATGTTATAGGCAGAGCTTAGCCTTCATTGGATAACTTGAGGTGGGGGACATACATCTGTTATTCGTTTCAGTACAGATGCAAATTAACCCAGCAAGAGCAGATGGAAATGAAAAATGGAGGAACAACTTTCAGATGCAATGTTTCCTTGGCACAAAACACTTTATCTTGTCAAGAAATATTTTACTGTGCATTTCAGCAAGGAGGAATGTGAAGTTGTGTATGAGGTTGTGTATGAGGTCCCAGACACTCATGGAAATGCTTATTCTCCTTTGTCCTTGATCGTCCTACCCAGAGCTATCTCAACAATGCCCCCAGAGAATAAATTTCATCAATCTGTTTCCTTAGTTGCCCAACATGTGTATCAAGTTTAGTAGGGAGAGAAAGACTAGCAGGTCAAGTACAGCAGGAACAAGAGAAGGGGATGGAGCAAAAGAAAAAGAACAGAAATAGAACCCAAGTAGAAGGAAAACAGCAAGAAAATTACACTAATTCTCAAGGCTTCCACAATGTCAGGGTATGAACTACACATTATATGTTTATTTCAGTCCTTCTGTATGACCTTCTCTAAGCTGTATGCTCTCATGGTGTAACTGTCTTACAGAAAAGGAATGAGGACAGCATTTTAATGTAGTGCATACCAGGATAGTAGATTGAAAACAGAGAAGCCTTGTTTGTATTTATCTGGTTTCAGACATGGGGCATTTTGGAGATTGAATCATAGCAGTTTATTGGGCTATAAGACATCACCCACTCTACAACCCTGGCATTGTTGGAGAATATGCCTTGCACACAGTGCCTTGCTTTGGCTTTGGGAGGTTTGGCATTTGGTAATGGACAGCAGAGGATGCCAGATGCTGCATGAGTTACAAGAAAGGTAGCTGTGAATCACAGGGAAAGATCACATGGTAATGCTATACACCCACTCCAATGCATTCTCACAGATGACCACATCCTTCTGCATTCTTGCACCACCCCACTCAATCTCAAAATAAGAAGTAAGTCCAGGGTCTTTAAAATTCCTACTCATAAAACTAAGAAGTTTCAAAGAATATACCTCATGGATCAAAGACCTAGTTGTGAGACCAGAAACCTTGAATTGGTTAGAAGACATATGGGGAAAACACTTTGCAAAGGCAGAAACTTCCTGATTAGGATTCCGGTAGTTTAGGGAATAACACTGAGTATCAACAGATGTGATTACATCAAATTTAAAAGCTCTGCACAGAAAAATAAATAAAAGTGAAGATATAATATACAGAGTAGGAGAAAATCTTTGCTGCCCAGGCTTCCACTAGAGAATTAATATCTAGCCTATAAAACTAATTGAAAACTAGCTTCAAGATAGAAACCCACATTCCCAATCAAGGAATAGTCAGATGAAGAGACAGTTTCAGAAGAAGTACCAAGGGCCAATGTTGTATGAAACAACATTCAACATAGCCATTAGTGAATTGCAAAGGATAACAGTACTGAAATTATATCACACCCCAGTTGGAATACAAAAATAACTTTGAGTGCTGGCCAGGATTTGGGAAAAAGTAACCCTTGCACACTCTTGGCAAGAATGTGAAGTAGTACCATCATTATGGAAAGCAGTATAGAGATCACCATAAAAACTACAACTAAAAATATATTTGATCCAACTACATTACTCCTTGGCATATTAAAGTCAGCATGCCATAGTGATAGATGTGAACCCATGATCAGTGCTGCACAATTCACAATCACTAAGCTGTGGGGCCAGTTTAGGTTCCCATCAATAGATGATTGTTAAGGAGAACGGCATCCAACAGATGAATGGTACAAATACATGTTGGGATTTTACTCCATCATAAGTTAGAACAGAAGCATATTATATGGTTTTGAACCAGTATGCCATATTATGACGATGCAGCAGTATCTCGTTAGTCTGTGTAGAGAGAGGGTGTGGAGGAAAGGGGAATGAAATGGGTCTAGATTTTCCATATGCATATGTGCTGATATCTTAGTTGCAGCAGTACTAATGAGCAGATATATATTTTTTCTCATTGAGTTTATTGGTACATTTTAGGTATACAGTACAGTTAGACTCAACATTGGGATCTGGTACCTTTAATGACAGGTCTGGGTTCTCATTTTTTCCCCTGGTCCCTGCCCTCCCTTCATCCGTCCTCCCTCCCCCTTTACAAACACTTCATTTCCATTTTTTCATTTTTCTCATATTTTTCTTTTCCCTAATTTCCTTTCCCCTACCCTTCCCACTTTCCCTACACCTTTAACCCCTTTCTTCCTATTTTACATTGTTCATTATATCATTAGAACCTTATGTGCTATTATAGTTTGTTCACAGCAGAGAAACTATTTGGTATTTATACATGTGTGATTTATTCATTTCACTTAGGAGCACATCTTCAATATATATCCATTTTCATATGAATGAATCTAATTTTTCATTCTTTATGGCTGAGTAGTACTCCATTTTATAGAAAAAACAAGTCTTCTTTATCTAGTTTCCAACTGATGTGCAAATGGGCTGTTTCCAAGTTTTAGCTATTACAAACTGTGCCGCTATAAACATAGGTATGCACATATCACTGTGATATGATTCTTTTAATTCTTTTGGAAAATACCCAGCAGAGGGATGGCTGGGTCAAATGGTCCCAGGTCTAGTCCTAGCTCTTTGAGGTATCTCCATATTACTTTTCATAGTGGTTGCACCAGTCTGCACTCCCACCAACAATGGAGAAGGGTTCCTCTCTCCCAACAGCCCTTCCAACATTTGTTATTGAGTGATATATTGATAGCAGCCTTTCTTTGTGGGTGAGGTGGAATCTCAGTGTTATTTTCATTTGAATCTCTCGAATGACCATTCATGTGGAACATTTTTTTCATATGTTTACTTGCTGCTTTTACTTCTTTGTCTAGCAGATGTATTTTTATAAAATTATGTCAAAATATCCAGTTACCTGAAGTTACTGTTCTTCTATTTTATTATTGTACTTATATGCTTATTTAAGAAGACAAATGACCAGCTCTTTCTTAGTCTGATTCTTGGAGACTCTCCCTTGCTTGGCACAGTGGACATATCAAAAATTTCAAAATGGGACCAAATTTTCTTCATAGAAGAAGTTCTTTTGCATAAGAGAAATGCAATTCATGTCTCAGGAAAAACTGATGTGAAAATATGTCATTTTTTTCTCATTGAGTTTATTGGTACTTTTTAAGGATACAGTACAGTTAACTCATCATTGGGCTTTTGTACCTTTACATGATATATCCTGGTTCTCATTTTTCCCCATTCCCCTACCCTTCCTTCACCCCCTCTCCTATTTACAAAGACTTTCTTTCCATGTTGTTTTTTTTTTTGCTTTCTCATATTTTTTTCTTTTCCCTGTTTTCCTTTCCCCTACTTTTTTTCCAACTTCCCTTAAACCTTTAGCCCTTTTCTTCCTGTTTCACTTTGTCAATCATACAATTTACAGTGGCACAGCTTGTAATAGGTAAAACTTGGATACAGCCCAATCACCTATCAGTTTGAGAATGGATAAAGAAGATGTGATTTTTCTATAAAATGGAGTGCCCCTCAGA